AAAAACAAAAAAACAAAAAAGAAAAAAAGGATGAGGAGGATGAGGATGAGGAGGATGAGGAGGATGAGGAGGATGAGGAGGATGAGGAGGGAGGGCATCGGAGCGGAAGATGTAGAAGAAATGACAATTACAATCAATGAATTGTAAAAGTTTATTGTAATGCTGTTGGTTCCTTCCCCCCCACCTCCTCCTCCTCCTCTCTTTTTGATGTCCACATCACTCCCTTCTGCTTGATTTGTCTGTTTGGTTGCGCAGAAATAAACCTCTAGTTGTTTGTTGGCTGGCGCCTGTTGCCTCTGTCCTTGGGGGTTTGCCGCGCACAACTCACACAAACATGATGGTGAGTTATCTGTGCTCATTCGGCACTCTGAAGGTGTATTTGTTTCAAACATGTGTTGTATATATATATGCATATATGTCCCTCTTTTTGTTTTGTATGACTGCAGTTATTTTGTCTTGAATGTATTTACTCACATCCCTCTCTCGCATTTCCTACACGCATCCATATTCATCTGATTATTTTCTTGTTAACTTGGACTTTTCACTGCCATGCCGTCATTTGTACAGCCGCCCTCTTTTCTCCTTCCCTCCTCTGTACCGTTACAGCGACGGCTCCGTGCCGCAGGAGCGTTCCTCCTATCCCTGCCCTCGTTTCCTGCACAGGCGTAGAGAGTGACACTGCGAGGGCCCCCCACTTCTCGCAGTGAGAGAATTTTTTTTCTTTTTTTTTTTTTCGTTTGAGGAAGAGAGGGGCGTATCTGTCATTTGCGGAGACGACGAGAAGAATCACATGGTGAAAAACAAAGCGGTAAAACGAAAAATGATGGTGTGCGCAAATGTACAGACGAGCCTCAATAGACGACAGTGCGACGTGTTTTGTTGGGGCCCTCCTCCTTCCTTACCAACCACCCCTCAATCCCTCTTCTTCTTTCATTATGGAGCGATTTTGTTAGTGCGCTGTTGTCCCTGTAACGACACTGTATTGGGGAGCAGTCAAAAAGATTTTTTTTTTTTTGTGTGTGAGTTTCTGCCCCAGCGTAGCCCCCGGCTACTGTCACCCTTCACAGGTGATAGGGGCCCCAGGAAGGTTGCCGCCTCGCACCTTCCCAGCGGGAGTCTGGCTTGCGTTAAAACGACTTCCGAATTCATTTGTTTTATTATGGTCAAGTATGTGTAATGAGTGTACATGTTGAGTTGCGTTTTTGCGTGTGAATGTGGGTGAATGCGCGTGTGCCCTGGCGGCGAGTAAATCCTCCACCACCAACACGCGCGACGGCGCCAGCAGGCCGGTGATGGAGCGATGTCTGCTGCAGCAGTGGTGGGAGATAAAGAGAGGGCAGGAGGGGCGTGTAGTGGGCGGAATCCTCCTTCCTTCACCCAAGACGAGGCAAAATGAAACAACACCCAACGAGAAGGGGCACGCGCATATATTATTTGTTTGATGGGTTTTTTTTTTCCTCCTTTGGGGGACATTCCGCTTTTTGTTTTTGTTTTTGAATGCTTCTCGTTTTTTTTTTGTCTTCTGGTTCATGTCATGCGCTTTTTTCTGTTTCTCCCCGCGGCTGCTGCGGTTTCTTTCCCTCCACTCCCCCCCCCCCCCCTGTGTGTGTGGGAATTGCGCTGCCGCCACGGCGGCTCGTATGTGTGTATCCGCCATGTGTACATCTGTGCGCAAATGCCTGTGCTTTTTTTGCGCTTAGTTTTTTGGTGTGAATGGATCCACGCACCCACTGAGCCCTTCTCCACTACCTTTTGGTTCTTTTTTTTTTCTCTCTCCTCCCCCCCTTCTTCTGCTGCTGCGGCCGTGCACACCCACGCGTGGTCGTAAGCAGTACACACAACCACTCGTGGGCGGAGGGCAGCTAAGCGTTTGATTTCCGTGTCTGTTTACGTGCCAAGCTTTTGAAAAAAAAAAAAGAGAAGGTAAAAATCAATTAGTACAAAGAAGCAAAAAGAAAAAAAAGAAGGGAACCCATTAAGTAATATATATATATATATATATATATATATAGTAGGAG